TTCTTTTGACAAAAGGATGAAGTCTCTATCTGTCAGGGAAGCCGAGATATTGCAAAATAAAAAAGGTCTTCAACTTTTGAACAGCACTTTTTATATAAAAATTAACCCGGTCCTGAAAGGGTTAATGATAATTGGGCTATGGATGTGATTCAAGATGAAACCGGAATGATACCAGATCAAGAAACCGTTGCTAATTTACTGAAGAAATGTAGATCTTTGGTTAATATGATTAAGCGATCTTCGATATTGACGTCGTTTTTTGATTGTGAACGAATGAAAGCTAATATTAAATGTACATTATCAGGAGACATGAAAACAAGATGGAACAGCAGCTTTATCATGATTAACAGTTTATTGAAACTTCGTGTGATTATTGAAACGTTGTTTAAAGAAAAATATGATCTAAATGTTCGACGGGATCAAATAACAAGATTAATTGCAATGGAATTATTAACGGATGATTGGACATTGTTAGAAAAATTACATTATGTTTTAGAACCATTTTATGTAGCCACTACCATAATGTCTGGCCGATCTTATTCTACAATCGGAATTTGTTATTATCTGTAATGCTCACATTTTTGTTAGACATAGCTTCAAATTTCTTTTCACAACTAAGTTTTCAAGAAGAAACATTTCTCTACAAAATGCGACGTTCCGCGACTCTGAGTAATTCTTTATAGACGACTTGTAACAATTTTCGCTGAAGCCCGAACAACAGTTTTTAACGGGTGCATGCCTGCTGTCCATAACTTCATATTATCTTGTATATGAGTCCTTGAAATGGGACATATGTCGGATAATTTCGTGTGATCTTGCGTAGTTTACACGATTTTCAGATGATTCTTTTTGCATTCGATAGAGCACATGCGTATGTAAGCCATAAACAGAAGATTTTTATAAAAACTGTCAGTCTCTAGTTATCATAATTAATTATAAGTTTAATTTAGTCCACAAAAATATATTTAAATTAATATCTCGTATAGTGTGAAACTAATATGATCGCAAGTTTTTCAGATAAAAAACGGCCAAGAAACAGCAAAACACGAACAAAACTTCCAAGAGTGTCTCTAATTACCCCCAAGTACTCTATGTGACATGAAATATTCAAAAACCATTCTAAAATTGATCTAGCATAAAGTTCTAAAAAACGATCCGTTAATGGCGAACTTCTGTGTGTCAATGTTATTATTTGTCAATGTCTTCGGAACTACCGTTTTGCCCGTAATGGTTTACAGAGAAGGGTAGCAGGTCAAGGAAGCTCGAAATCCCAGAGAGAGGCGTATGCTGGAGGCCCTGAGCAGAGTAGAAACGAGTTTGTCCTCATTCTCATTGAAATCAGGACATGAAATACCTATAAAATGATTCACTCTGTATTTTCACTGAAAAGGTCACTAGCGATCCGAGCTCTCGGAAATTCTTATGGAAGGTTCTGAAAACCTTTTTCATAAAAATAAATTTGTACAGCAGCAGTCATTTATTTTTATCAAATAAATGACATTTTATCAAATAAATGACTGCTGCTGTACAAAAATTTATTTTTATTCACTTGTTGGCTCTAAATCGTAATAATGTTCAACCTTTTTCATCATTAGATTTGAACTCAGCGCAGTCGAAAACCTATGAAAAGTAACTTTCTCATGAACCTAATGATTGTATTGATTTCCTTCCGTGCTATGATAGCCCGGAGTATCTTCTTCAAAATGAGAGTCAAGCAAGACCTTGGTTTTCCGCTGGTCGGGTGTTGTGTCGGATTTCTTGCGAGTCCCAGGACTGGCACCCGGTGACTATTGGTAGCCTTGAGAACGGATGGACTATAGGTAATCGATCATGCTGAGTCTTGTGACAATATTTGTTTTTAGAAAAAATTCTAAAAGTCTACCGAAAAGTGAGTTTTACGAAAATTTGGGTTTTCAAGCTGTTTCAACTATTAAAAAGTTCACTTTTCACTCAATAAACATCGGAACGAGTTCAGACCTTCAGAATATGGTCGATGCCTCATGTTGAAAAACCGCCAGCATCTAGAGTACGTCAAAATTCGATAGATAGTTACTTCGGAATTTAAGAAACAATACCTGTTGCAAGTCCGCTATTGAATTCTACGAATGGAAATGAAAAAATTTTGACTTTTCATGTCTTACTCGGTCCGAGCAGGATATATAGGCTGAAAAACGTCTTTGGAATATAAAACTAGGGACCAGTGGGACTCTTTGTTTATGCTAAAATGTTGTAGGTTTGCTTACAACCACTTCTTATAATTATCTAAATATACACTTTTAACTATACCGAAAACAAGTGAGGGTACAGTGGACCTAATAGGGGAGGTATTTCGAGTTTTTTCCGCCGTTTTAAACTTTCATCCAAAATAAAATACATATTCATAACCAGCATAAAATTCTGAATCGAACGAGAAGTCTTGCAGGACATTGCAAATCAAAAACTTTCGTGCCTATCTGAGCAGACTGTCCTAGTGAAAGTACTTATACTATGAGTACGACTTTACTCATCATGTTTTTGGAAAACTTGACTTTTCCTCTGTGACGTACTTAAATAAACACCTGCTAGCACCTTCATTTCTCAACGAAATTGCTTCAAATTTTCAAAACTCATTTAGTTTCGCCTGCTGTACAGTACAGGAATACTTGAATTATTTTTTGTACTGAGATTTTACCTTGAGATTTTCACAGGTTTTCTGGAAAACCTGTCGAAGATCTGCTTTGTTTTTTGTAGTTCTGGCGGTGAGAGCGAACAGCGTATCTTCTCTTATGCTTACTCTTCAACTCTCATGCAATTTGGGTGAGAAATGAAGGTGCCAGCAGGTGTGTATTTAAGTACGGTCACAGAGGAAAAGTCAAGTTTTCCAAAAACAATTCTTATTTTGAACTTTGTTTAAGCCAAACAACAAACATTGCTGCGAGATTCCCGGTGTTTGAAAATTTGTTTCATCCGTTTTGAAGGTTCCTGGACTTCAGGTTTAGCCGATAAGTTAGTGTCCGGAGATTGCTTGTAGCGCCCGAATCACGGTAGACGGAGACTTGGGCAGGTTGTACAGCGACATCTTTTGTATATTCACATGTGTTTAGCGTAGTGCTTTGCTGTGTAGATTTCTGAAACAGCAGGCTCGGACATTTTGTTTCGAAAGGAACACCGTGGTAAATCTCTTTGGGAGACTAGATTTTTCCATAGGATTCTAGCCTCAAGTGTCCTCTGTCAAATGCTGAAAATCGATGGTCTGTATCTCATTTCTATCAAAAGTTATTTATAAAATACCTATGGGCATTCTTTTTTGGCGGCGATAGTAGTTAACACCTTGAACTTCCTCCAGACGAAATATTCAGATGTTCTTTTTCGTTGCTAAATCTTTACCTTGATCACTTTTGAGTAGGCCTACTTTCCTCGCTGTATGTCTCAATTTTGGTGCGACATATAATCGGAAACTTGATGTTTGATGCAGTTCGATATTCACGCTTGCAGTTTTAAGAAATAAGAATGGGATATTTTTTCAACCATATCAATTAATAGAGCCTGATGTACTGATCAAGAATATGTGAGAAGGAATATTTAAAAGTACAAATAACCGTTGCTTTTTATCAAAACAACATTTCGGATCTAAGTTTTTAACGCTATCTGTCACAGTATTTTCGGTTTCTACTCTACTATTCAAGCTTTAATCACGAACCATTCCTAGTGTCATGAACAGCTTGTGAAGAGAGCTACAAGAACATACATAAATAAGTGAGTTAAATGTGGGATCATGGCGAAATCGTGAGAATAAGTTCAAGTAGCGCTAAAAGGTGAGTCGAATGATATGCGGTTCGTGATTTTAGCAAAAGTTTTGTTTTTTCATCAAAAATTCAGATGAGGTCTCCCTCATGAAAAAAGACTAAAAGATCGCCTATAGTCCAAGTTTTGCTGAAATCATAACTACATAAAATTGAACTTTCTATCGATTTTCATCGAAATGAAAACATTTTGAGGAGGGATCTATTGGATTTGCATCCCGTCCTTTGTTAACAAATTATTATATTGTTCTTACTATTTTCTTGCTAATGTTACTATATTAGATAACTTTAGCATTGTTAGAGTTGTAATTAGCGGTCTGAGAAATGTCGCTTTCAATGATTTTATTTTCACTCATGCTTAATCAACTCAGCAGAAAAATCTAATATTTAATGTAAGGCGCGCGTAATTCAAAGTTACAGCACTCTTTTCTTTTTGACTTTTTTTATACATGGCTGCATAGGGCTTACGAGCTGACCAAGAATATGTCAGTTTTAACCTGCCGAACTAATTTTTTCAATGAGAAAATCCAAAATACGGGAAGGTCCTAAATTTCAAAAAACCGTTCCGGTACGTAAAAAATTCGAGTAATTTTTTCTATTTTCATCTGGAAGCTCTGCGGTTCCTTTTTTTTCTGATTCAGTGCATAAAACTGAGCCTATATCTATTATTTGAGCTTTATTAGATATAATATTGTCAAATTAAAAACTGATTTACCAACATAGTTTAAAGTGTACCAAAGTTTTTTGCAAACCTGTCTATTTTTTATCTAGTCATTGAGTTTGATTCAGCAGACCTCTAGATACCACCCATGTCCTTTTCGGAGCAATGGTAGTTCATTTGGTCAGCCATCTAGTTTAAAAAATTGTCTAAACGTGTAGTTTAAGGGGGCTGGGTCCCGACATTTAGATTTCGCTCAAGCTTTCCCAATTTGTACAGCACATCTTGAAGTGTATGTCATGAAGTTTTTTTCGACTTACGGTCATTAGCTGACTGAGAAAACAATTAATTACTCTCAAGATTTAAGCTAGTTTTTGAACGCTACGGCTGTTTTTAAAAGTTCCAGTATCCGGCAATCTTTTACTACAAAAGTATGGTTCAAGCGTAGAACGAAACAGAAATATCTGGAGATTATTTTCTACAAAACAGCTAAATATATCCTTTCTTTTCTTCTTTGATGACTAATTAGCGCTGATTATTATTAATTTATTCCACTTCATTCTCTTAAAGTAGTGTTGTAAAATAACCATGCAGTACAGCTATTCGAGCTAAACCTCTTCTGGTAGAGAATTTCATAGCCTACAACACAGGCTACTCTGCAACCTTTTGCATCAACATGTGATACTTCAAAAGATATATTTTAGCCTAAATGTTGACAGTAATTAATTGTTTTTTTAGTCAGCCAATAGCCGTAAGCTGAAAAATTTCAGGATATACACTTCGAGTTGTGTGCACAAATTTGGAGCTTAAACGCAATAGTTGAAAAAGAGGGGGTTCCTTTAATGGCTCCCCTCCCTCCTCAAAAATGATGGTTCTTGGCTAAAAAAGTCGATTTTGAGATGAGCACATAGAAAGATAACCTGAAGTGTCTACTTTCAGAATCTGTATCGTTTCTGGTTACAGAAGTGATTTTTCGCGACTTTCGAACAAGTTATCCGAGAGCCTCGAAAAACCGGGTCTTAGAATAACAGCTTTTTCCTGGATATTTATGCAATTAAATTCTTTTCTGAGCGCGTAGATTTGTATAACAAACTTTTGTAATCAAAATAAAACTTTGCTCAACTCTGTATAATCTTGCATCAAAAAGTAACAGGCATTTTCCTGCAAGTCCTAAAATTGAGCGTTTTATCCAGTTATGAGAGTTACACCTGAAGTATTTCCCAAAACTTTTTAATATAGTTTAAGCTAGAGGGTTCGGGTTTGCTTTATTTTAAGCTAGACACCTAACTATAATGGACCGTCTAACGTATTCTTTGCGTAAGAATGCTCAAATTGCTACTAGTTTCGAAGTATTAAAGGTACGATCCGAATATTTGCCAAAATTTGTATTTGTACAAACGTTTTCGAATGTAAGTGATGTGAATGCTTCGTATTATCTTGTGTTGTTCTTATGAAATAGTTCTTTACGTACTGTTAATACAAGTCTAATAGCAGTTAATTATTCTCCACATGCTCGTGAATTGTTGTATAAAACAGTTGCGACATATCTATCAATAAAACGTGCAACATTTTATAATCAAATTTGTAATGAAAATTCGTCACCACATTGGTTATAGATCAACTTCGATTACTTTTCACTAACAAAAGTTTCGAATGAACATTTTGAAACGCTACCGGTGAGTTTCAGAAAGGAAACAAAATTGGACGTGGAGAATTCCAGCGTCGAAAGGCGAACATTTTGAGAAAAAAAATTAAGTCTTCAACTCAAAAGTTCAGTTTTTGAGCTTAATTTGAAATTTAAAAAATTCAACTTTTTTTGAAATTGAACTAGCTCAGTTCAAGTAAGCAATGGAACCTTGATTCAAACGTGGTTGGATAGACAATTAAAATCTAGTAGGGGAACCCCTACGTTTGTTTAGATTTTAGTTTTCTTCTATTTGACTTGGACTTGAGCTCCAGTGGACTTGGACTTGACTTGAACTTGGATATGATTGGACTTGCCCACCTCTGCAATTTAGTGAAGCTTTAATTATACCATGATCACAATTTCGCACAAGAAATCATCCACCATAGCTGTGCTAACTAAGTGATTATTATCGGTAAACACAAGATTTAAACAAGTGTCCGGTTTTGATTGTTTATTAAGACATCTAGTTGATTCTCTCACAAGCTGATGGAATTGTTATTTTAGGAAAATGAATATAGTTTATTTACTTCGCGTGTAGTTGGTTTTATAGCACATCCCTTATTATTATGTCGATTAAAGTCTTCTATTACATCACTGGTTTCGAACTTCCCTTTTTTACTTAAGCTATCAACGACCTCGTTCAACTCTGCCAAAATATCATCTACCGATTGAGAAGACTGATAACAAACGGAAAAAAGAGTATTTCCATAACCAGGAAGAACGACATCAATAAATAAGCATTGCAATTTCGAGTTATTAGTTGTTAGAAGTAAAGTTAACCGAGGATTCTCTTTTGCATATATATTCGCATGTTGACGGGCATCTCGCTCATCGGGGAGGGAAGAGGGCAGGTGAATAGTGAGAGTGGGTGAAAAAGCTGAAAATCTAATAGATGAAAATTGGTATGACAAAAACTTATAATAAGACGAAAATTTCCAGTATTCAATATCATGCTGAACACTCAATCCAACCATAGTTGCAGCAAGCAGGGGATTTCAAAGAAGTTTAACCTTGTAGTAGACTGTATAAGAGATCTCTGCAGATTGGGTTGCTTAAATATCGGATGATCCCTTATGGACACCCCTTGTGGGTGTCAATACCAATTTTTCTCTCTTAGATTTTTAGCTTCGTCACTTACTCTCCCTATCCACCTGCCCTCTTCCACCCCTGATGAGCGAGATGCCCGTGACGACGCGAATATACAATTCGAATCTTGCGAGTCAAAGTATAATTCGAGGAACCTTCAAACGTCGGGGCGCTCATATGCCAGATGACGTCCTTATTGACACTCCCGGCAATGTTTTCGGCATGGGAGTGCCAATAGCTCCTTGCTGACACTTCCTGGGAGTGCCAATAGACTCACCCTTATTTTATTCAGTTATTATCTGTATTCTTCAGAAAAAGTGCGCCTGTTGTAGAATGAACGTGATTCATTATTTTTGTAAATTTTTGACGAACAAGATATATTCATTATTAATGAAAAAGTATTCAGTAAAATGGTGAACAAGTTCCTTTTAATGACATCATGTCGTCTGTTTATACGCACACTGACAAAAGTACACTTATAAATATTTTAAACGTTTCTAATATTTTCAAAGTAACGATAAATAGAAACAAACTTTTAATATTAAAATGTGCTTTTTAATGAATCGAATACATTCAAAGTAAAAAACGTTTCAATGCACTTTGAGTATTTTTCTCTGAAGATCAAACGAAATTGAAGTGAATGACTTATACGTTTGTTGTTGTATTACGTTTCAGTGTTATATAGGAAAAAGTTTTCATCCTTCCAGCATGAAATCTGACAGACAACTTTAACTTTTACCTTCCCGATGGAATTTTAGGGCTAAAAGTATTTTGAAAAAAATCTTACCCTTAGTTGCTCCAAAACGAAGCGTTTTCGAGCAAAAGAGCGGCTGCAAAAGTCGTTCAGATTGTCATTTTCTATGGCATAAGACTTTGCTGACTCAGAAGTCCTTAAACTCCATCCTTAGAAAAATTCGCGATATATACTTCATACTGTGGTCTACAAACTGGAGGAAAGGACAGGGACTCTTTCTAATTGCTCGTAAAACTACGCAGTTCTTTGAAAGCTATAGCGGTAGTCAACTGCGAATTATTTTATTCAGTTATTATTTGTATGTTTCAGGAAAAGTTCATTTATTGCAGAGTGAACGTGATTTCATTTCAGCTAGTTTTGAAAAAAATACTTCCAACTGCGAAGCATTATGTAGGTTTTATGCATGAGAAACAATAGTGCAGGAGAAAGAAGCAACGCGGAACACATAAGTGACACTTTGGAGAAAATTAATTCAAACAGTTAGAAATTGTTTTGGGATAGCGTATATAAGTTCCGCCTTCTTGAGAATATGTCCTGTTAGCTAAAACTCATTTAAAATTAAAAGGTGGTGAAACGGTGAGCAAAGTCTGATCACTTGTGGCGTTGTATGCCTGATCAATTTCAAACAAGTTTCTTTTAATGACATCATGTCGTTTGTTTATTAACACACCGAAAAAAGTACACTTATAAATATTTTAAACGTTTCTAATATTTTAAAAGTAAAGATAAAGAGAAACGGCACAACAACAAATGTATGAGTCATTCACTTCAATTTCGCAATATAAGAGTGTTTTGATCTTCAACTAAAGTAGTCATACTGCACTGACACGATTTGTGAAGATTTTTTCAATAATGAAACGTAACACAACATCAAACGTATAAGTCATTCACTTCGATTTCGTTACTTAAAAGTGTTTTGATCTTCAGAGAGAAAAGTCAAAGTGCAGTGAAACGTTTTTTACTTTGAATGTATTCGATTCATTAAAAAACATATTTTTAATATTAAACGCTTGTTTCTGTTTATCTTTATTTTGAAAATATTAATATTAGAAACGTTCTAAATATTTATAGGTGTACTCTCGTCGCTGTGTACAAACGAATGCCGTTAAAAATAATCTTCGTCGCCGCTTATCTGTGTTCATTGACATTGCTCATTGATACAAAACCACAAGTGCTCAGGTATATGCTTACCGTAACTATACCTCGTCGCTGTATTTTCTTGTTTTCGGTTTTATAGTATTCCAGTTACGCGTCACGTTGACAACGAACAAGTAAAATCATCAAAAGCACTAGTTGGTAATGAGAATATAACTAACCAAGGGAATGTAAGACCCTCGCATATGCTTTAGAACGAATCAATGTCTCGTTCTTTTCCATTAGGCTTTTTGGACTGGAAGTATTAGTATTGGTACGCCACCGCAAAGTTTTATTATTGATTTCGATACGGGTTCAAGCGATCTGTGGGTGCCGAGTGCTTCATGTACAGGGTCATCTTGTGGTAAGTATATATTTTGCATATTATCGGATACACTTTTCTTCTTGCGTTATCTTTCATTATAGCAAATAAGAATAAATATAACAGTGCACAGTCAAGTACCTATCGTGCAAATGGTTCTCCGTTTTCGATCCGCTACGGTGATGGTTCGTATGCTGTGGGGCATTTTGATAATGATACAGTCACAGTAAGTATATATGCATTTAACTGATCTCCTATGTTTCTGTACGATAGAATCACATTTAGTTTGGTGGATTACAAGTTAAAAATCAGGTGTTTGCGGAAGCTACTAGTGAAGGGGGTTTTGAAGGTAGTATAAGCGATGGACTGTTAGGGTTGGGATATCAGCGAATAAGCAATGGTGAAGCACCTGTATTCTATAACATGTGGGCACAAAACTTAATACCGCAGGCACTCTTCTCATTTTACTTTAATCCGTAAGTTTTATAGCTCGCCCATAGAAAGAGCCAGACTAATGACTAGATCAAAATGTATGTTTCTTAGGATTATAAGTTCAGGTGGTGAGTTAATTTTGGGTGGTATTGATACAGGAAAATATCAAGGTCTAATCACGTATGTCGACGTGTCCCTCCAAGGCTATTGGGAATTTGAAATGGATAGGCAAGACATGTCTTTCGACAACAATTACTCTCTCATTTGACGCAACATTTTTACCTCTACAGTATTTCGGTCGGTGGACGAACGTTTTGTGTTAACTGTTCCGCCATTGCAGATACGGGTACTACATTGATTCTTGGACCAACTGCACAAGTTCAAGCATTAAATACATACCTGGGTGGCACGTACGATCAATCGAGTGGATACGTAAGTGGCTATTCTGTCTGATAAGTGAGAAACTGCAGCCCTTTTTTTCCGTAGTGGACAATACCTTGTATGAATAGAAGTACATCATACTATCCAAATGTAACGTTTACAATTAGTGGTCAAATGTTAACACTGAATGTCTTACAATATGTCGTAGTATGGGGCCGCACTGGTGCCTGGACATGTGGTCTTGTATTTGTAAACGCATCACTTACAGATCTTAAAGGAGCTCCGTTCTGGATTTTAGGTAAGCGAATTCTCCTTCTACTACCCAATAATGCATAGAGATACGTTTAGGTGATTATTTTCTTGTACGCTACTATTCAATCTATAATTTACAAACGAATCAGGTTGGTTTTGCTAAATCCATATCGTACAATGTATTCAATTCATGGTACTATGATTACACACTGTTTCCAAACGTGACAGCACCGCCAACGGCAGCCAGTACCACCACTAGTGGAACGACAAGTAAGACCATAAGTAAAACGCTCAACGCAATGTATCAAAGTTTAAATTTTAATTATTAAGCTTCGACAAGTACAAGCTCCACCAGCACAAGTACAAGAACGACAAGTAGGTCTATAAGGAAGACTATCAGCGCAATGTATGAAAGTTTAAATTTTAATTATTAAGCTTCGACAAGTACAAGCTCCACCAGCACAAGTACAAGCACGACAAGTAGGTCTATAAGGAAAACTATCAACGCAATGCATGAAAGTTTAAATTTTAATTA